CTAGTGCCCACCGTACCACCCCCCAATTTCACGAAGCCCTGGAACCTTGTTTAGTTTACCCAAAGCCTTAATTTTTTTATCTTGATCAAGATAAAAAACTAAGACCTGCGCAAGCTTGAGCACGGACCGGACGTCCATTCCATGTGCTGTTTAATGTCATTTCATAAAACAGTGCTGCGTGAGACCGGGGGTCTACACTCTTTCTCCAAAACGAACTTTCAATAACTAAGTTCAAACGAAATTTAATTTCGTCAATTCTAGGTTATACTTAATTTGAACGATAAACTATCATATTAAATCTTTCTTTGAGTAGACTTAGAAAATCTACACCACGAGAAAGGGTCCCGCGACGGAGTGCGGAGCGGATCTCTGCGACGGACGTCCGCTCCATGCTCCGTCTAGAGGCAGCTCTAACTGTCCTATTGTGTTCTGGCAAATTTGAACGGATGGTCACCCCAATCGTATGGCTTAACTGCACCATAGCAGTGTATGTTATCGAGGCCAAACAATATGTCAGACACAAGTCACGCGTGATAGAGTAATTATAGTTTTGTATCAAACGAAATAATTTAACTTATCCATCTTCATTGGAACGTCTTCAATGCGATTTATTGCGTCACTTAGTTGTTAACAAATACTATTAATAGATTTATAACTTCTTATTTGTTTGATTCGATGGCCTTGGTATTCGAACGTGTGTTGAAATCTAGAGCCCCGGGCCACCTAAGATTTGCACCCTAGAAATAGTAAATCTAATTAAAATATAGGTCAGTAATGAATGAATTCAAATATAAGTATATGTTTGCAGCCTGCCACCCCAGGCCGTGGCCCTTTTGGCCCTAGAGTAAATATGCCCCTGATCATAGGCATTGTAGCCATTTTGATTATGATGTCGAAATTACATTTGTTGGTTTTGTATTTGCAATTGATTATTTGATTTTCTCTAATTCTCTTAAATATTTCTTCTCAAAATAATGTAAAAAAATACTAAATTTGACGTTCAATTTAAATTTATATAACATCAATTTCCATTACTTTTCAATAATTCCTGATATTTAATCGAATAAAGATATAATTTAAATGTAATGTTTTTAATTATAGTTTTTTTTTATATTTTACTACTATTTATTTCACATCAAGTCAAGATTTTTACATACTGTGATTTTGTTCTGCGATATTTTTGCTTAGCAGTGCTTTTGTGTAACATCTATAATAGGGTGACGACGTCCTTACAAAATTCTCATTATAAAATTTCTCAAGACGAATTTCTTGAAATATTTAATAATAACCTTGCAATTTATCAACTATGCAAAATGATTTTTTTTTCTTTTATGAAATAATAAATAAACTCTACAAGTAACAGTTTGACATAATGATTTTTAGATTCATGTTTAATTTAAGCAACCTTTGTGGCATTGGAAGAATAAAATTTTGAAAAATGCAAATAAGCCATTCAATAAGAAGAAAAGGACTTTGAAAAGTTGATTCACAGAAAGAAATCACAATAGGGATGACGACGGGGTAAAGTAAACGAAATTCTATTTAGTCCGTCAGTTAGATGATCAACAAATAATGGACACGTATTTATTCATTGGTCAATCAACCAAAAAATGACAGAGATAAAGCGCGTCAAAGTTTGGGAGTAGGGGCTCGTGACGTCACTTTTAAGTAAAAATTGTACCAAAACGTGACGTCATGCGACTTTTCAAATCAATCTCTGCAATGTTTATATTATGTGAAAAAAGAAAAATACGTGTCCATATCTTTTTGATAATCTACCTGATAAACGAAGAAAAAATAGTCATCATCCCTATTAAGATTGTACTTGGTTTGCTTCCACATATATACTTAGCATATATATATATAAACTCAAAGGTGACTGACTGACATAGTGATCTATCAACGCACAGCCCAAACCACTGGACGGATCGGGCTGAAATTTAGCGTGCAGGTAGATGTTATGACGTAGGCATCCGCTAAGAAAGGATTTTGATCAATTCTACCCCCAAGGGGATAAAATAGGGAATGAAAGTTTGTATGAAACTTTGTCAATTTTAAACCGATCGGGCTGAAACTTTGCATGCAGGTATAAGAAGAATCATAGGTGAATGTCATTGTGTATAATACAAGCCTGAGAACAAAAACTGTAGTCTACACTTCAGCTCTACACCGAAGCGAAGCGAGGGCGGGCCGCTAGTTGTTTATAAGATACTTTAAAATGAGTTCGTGTTAATCTTGTTAATGTTAATAAATAAATAAATTGATAATTTTAAAATCATACATGTATATTTTCATCATCATCATCATCAGCCTATTAATGTCCCCACTGCTGGGGCACAGACCTTCCCTATGGATGGAATAGAGAGATTGGGCCATGACCCACCACGCGGGCCCAGTGCGGATTGGTGGGTGCTAACGACTGCAGATGCAGCCGGGACCAACGGCTTAACGTGCCTTCCGAAGCACGGAGGAGTTCGAGATAGGAAGTTTTTGGTCACCCATCCAATAACCGACCACCGCGAAAGTTGCTTAACTTCAACGATCGCAGCCGAACGCGCTAACCACTTGCGCCATCGAGTTCCTCTTGTACTTCGAGGAACTCGATGTATATTTTACCCAGTTATAATTAGTTTTGGCAGAAATCAAAATATTTAGTTCTAGTAATTATAGAACAAATAAACTACTTTGTTATCTGAGTGTCTTCGCACTGTAGCCGCAGCTTTACCCACACGTAGAAAGGTTCAGTGGTCAGGTTACGAAAAAGGTCGCTTCAATTAGATAGAACACAGCTAACTACTCAACGAAATTGGCAGAGCGAAATTTGATGCTGCCACTTCAACTATTTGCCTTATCTTAATTTGGCATCACTCGCTCTTTCTCATTTTCTATAGAGCTCGAAAATGATAAACTGCTGCCCATACATAAATTATTAAAAAAAGATTCATCTTTATTATCATCATCAGCCTATTGTTTTGACGACCTCCGTGGCCGAGTGGTTTCTACGCCGGGTTTTATGGTGTCGCCGACTCGAGAGGTCCCGTATTCGAATCCCGGTGGGGGCAGATGTTTGTGTGATGAATACTAGCATTTGTACTCCAGTCATGGATGTTTAATATGTATTTCTATATAAATATACTTATATATGTACAATATATGTATTCTATCCGTTACCCTGGCATCCCATAACACAAGCCTTACAGTGCTTACGTTGGGGCTAGGCTAATTGGTGTGACTGTTGGAAATTATTATTATTTATTTATTTATATGAATGTCCCACAATGGGCACAGGCCTTCCCTATGGATGGAATAGGGAGATTGCGCCATGACCCACCACGCGGGCCCTGTGCGGATTGGCGGGTACTAACAACTGCAGATGCAGCCGGGACCAAAGGCTTAACGTGCCTTCGGAAGCACAAAAGAACTCGAGATAGAAGATTTTTGGTCAACCATCCAATGACCGACCACTGCCAAAGTTGCTTAACTTAAAACGCATCGCAATCACAGCCGAACGCGATAACCACTTGCGCTATAAGCTCATCAAAAAAAAAAGATTTGCTGTTTGAAATGCTAGCATTTTATTTTCTAAACGCCTAGACTAGAAACACTGTTTACTTATGATTTTATTTATTTTTTAAGCATTTAGCTGCTAGATGTTTAAATCTAAAGAAAAGTTTACTAGAAAAAAATGTTTAATACTTGAAAAAGTATTCATTTGACATTGTGGGTTACCTACAATGCGAAGAGATGGCGCTGCCTTGCAGCTTAAGGCTAGGAAAATTTCGACGCGGCTAATAGGGCCGTGGTAGCATAATGGTCAGTGCATTCGCCCGGATAGCGAAGGATGCGGGTTCGAGTCCCGTCCGCTGCCTGGTCCGCGTGGATTTTTTTTCTAGTAAACTTTTCTTTAGATTTAAACACTGTTTACTTATGGTTTTTATGTTAAAAGGGGGACAAACAAGCGTATGGCCTGCCTTATGGTGGCCACCATAGCCTATAGACGCTTGCGATACCAACAATATCACTCGCATCGTTGCCTGCCCTGACCTATTCCCCTACCCCGTGGAGCCCTGGAACCTTACTTACCAAAAGAAACAACACCACCAAAAGGTACTATTATTTTAATTATATCAGTACCTAAGTGTATTTGATTTCCGTACGGCGTATAAAGTAGTTCGACAAATCGAACCGAGTCACCTACTCTGCCAGGCACTTACAGGACACGGTGGTTTTGCTCAATACCTACATCGGTTTAAATTAAAAGACAGCCCGGATTGTATTTGCGAACCTGGAGTTGAAGAGACAGTCATCCACCTTAGAACGGAATGCCCCAACCACAGACTGGAACGGATGAATCTGCAAACAAAAATAAAATATAAAATAGACAAAACAACTTTACAAACAATAATAGCAGACAAAAATATAAGAAATCATTTACTAGTATACATAGTCAAAATTGTTAAAACAGCAATGGCAAGAAACAAAAGCTAAAAATATGACTACTTACGAATAATAAAATAAAACTAATACAAAATATACATCAATATATACATATATATATATCTACACTTACGGATGTTAATAAGAAATGAATAAGATGCAAAAAATATAATAAGATATAAAAAGTCTCTGATTATGTCAGAGGTATTTGCTGAAACCTGGCGTAATACCAGGTTTTTTTTAAAAAAAAAAAAAGTGTATTTGATTGTGAAATGAAATTTTCAGAATTGCAAAAACGTAACATAGACAGACACGAACATTTCTACGAAACTAAACAAATAAGGGAAATAATAATAATAATAAATAAAAAATACGAGTGCGGGATTTGAACCGACGACCGCGGTGATGCGTCGAACGTTGGTCCCGTGGCAAAGACTAAACACACTGCGCGGTTTAGATCGATACTGGAATGGCGAAAATTGTGTTCATATAGACTGTCGTAAGGTTTTTTTCGTTACGGAATTTGTTGATTCGGTCGCCGCGCTCAGAGCCCGCGATAAAAGCTATACAATAGCTTAAAACTTAAAAAAAATGCACGACGATTCTGCAATTAGTACATACGCGATCACGACCAAAGTTTAGATTCTAATACCCAGGCGTTTGTGATAAAATCTAACGATATTATTCCAAATCGTCCATTGTGAAAGCTCCCCGCTGAAGCTTGTACGCAACGTAGTATTATACTATACACTTTAATTGTGTTCGTCCATCCATCAAAGTCACACAGTCTTCAAGGTGGCTTACCTAACATAACAGCCGGCGAGCAAACCACGACAATGCAATTTAAACTCTAACGTTCCAATCATAAAATTTAATTTCGCTTATGCACGACACTTACAAGATTATATAGCCGAGATTCATCTGTAGCGCATTTGTTTATAGACACACACCGAGTGTTAACGTTGTTATTAGTAAATGATATAGAAAATGAACGCGGGTTATTGTATTTTGTTTGTTGTATCATGCTCATTGTTATTCGTTGACGTTTCAAGTGATTGTGACCATTATATAGATTGTTTTACCGAGTTTTTGCACGAGTTTTTCGGAAATAACAACACTAGAAGTGCTGAGAAGGAAAACTTTAAGAATGTTACTCATAAACAGTACGTACTGGATGGCGAACAAGAAGATTTGGATGGAATAATAAAAGGTTTAACGGGGGTGATAAAGAAAATAGACTTCGGCGTCAAAGAATCGGAAACTAAGAGGGAGGAAAACGAAAAAACTAAAATACACGTGAAGATTTTTGAATTTAATGATGATATAGTTATAGCGGAAGAAGATACAACTGAAGATATTATCGTTGAGAGCACGAAGGGAGATGATAAATTTAGTGAGACTACGACGGAAATTATAAATTTCTCTGAACTTCTTTTGAATGAAGCTAACATGTTACCTGCTGAGACTACACCTCGCAATCTTAACGTAATACCAATACAGAACGACAAAGAAAATGAAATATTGAACAGGGACGACTTTGATGACATCTTTGATGATCCAGTAGACGATAATAGCACGGATTATCCAGCGATAGATTATATAGAATTGTACAAAGACACGACTAACGAAGATGTGGAATATATACCAACACAACCGCCTGTACATTTGGGACAAGAGTTGACACAGAAAGAGAAGGATATCGAGCATCAAATCGAAGAATCTTTGAATCTGATAGAAGACGACGTGTTGAGAAATCTTATCAAGAATATCACAAATAAGGTAAGAACGTGTAACATTAAGACCAAAAATTTCATCAGTAGTCGGTTTTTGGTGCTTTTTACTCGACAGGAGATCATTATTTTGATTTCTGTCTTAGAGCTTAAAACCTAATTTCTAAGCGAAGAAACTTTGTCTTAAGTTTTCAGGTACTTATGCTACTACCTTTTTGTACCTATTTCACATTTACGTTTATTCTCTAGTGTTTCAAAGGCTGCAAGGTAGCACCGTCTCTTCGCGTTGTAAGTAACCCACATTGTGAAATGAATACCTTTACAAGTATTAACAAGTATTGAGACGTCATCCAAAAAATTGCAACTCCTGTGTTTTGAAAAACCTCCACAATTTTGCGTCACGAGAATAAGTGTTTCATAAATTCCACTAGAAATGTTTTGATGTTATTCAGACGATTAGCAAACATGATGATGTCTAAAAAGGTTTCCGTCAAACAAAGCTCGAAGCCAAGCAAGAAGAGCATAGAGGCTCTCCCTGATATTGCTCTAGCAGCTATTGCTTCCTATAAAAAGCAAAAAGACGTGAGCGATTTTAACAACTTCCTTTTAGAGTCATTAGAGCATAATTCTGACTAGCTTAATGGCATCGTCAACAAACATTTGAAAGAAGAAATAGCAATTCTAGTTAAATTTGTTGAAATCTAAAGAAAAAAAGGATAGTTCGCGTCCCGTCTGCTACCTGGACCGCGTGTAATTTTTTAAAAGTATTTTTACTCGAAAAAATCCGTAGATTTAAAAGCTAAAGCTAAAGCTTAAAAAATATACAAATATTTACGTTTATTCTTTTAAAGTGCTGAAATTGTAGAGAGCATACTATTTTACAAGCAGATATTGAAATTTCATTGATTTGAAATGTCATTTATTCAGTCTAGGCTGTTACAAGGACTTGTGAAGGTCCAGAATCTACGCCATCGGTTCGCAAAACTACGGCGGGAGACCTTGTACTGAGAAGAACCGGCAAGAAACTTAGCAAGGGCTGTTTTTTTCTCCCTGTATTGTTATATAGAGAGTCGTCAAGTTGAAAAATGACTTCAGAGATACGTCTGAAGTCACCTTCCATTACATCATTTAGAATATAAATATATAATAGCTAGAAAACCAGTAATGAATAAAAAAGTGAAATAGCTGGTAAGAAAATAATATAACGCGATTTTGAGTCATTCTAATTAACATAAAAACTTCTGGAAGATTTCCTAGAAATAAAGAATACGGGAAAGATCGTTCTCAGTAAAGTTTGGGCAATGAAGCATAAAAAGTTTGTGACGTAATTACTGCAACGAATATTACTCGCAAAAACTTGAATTCTTAAGAAGTAAACAGGTTTTCTACTCAAAGGTTACAAACTTCTTTGAAATAGACGATGGTAGCATAAATAAAATAATCTACAATACAAATATGTGTTACCAATTTTTTATGTTTGTCTGTCACGGTTTTATTTCACATCGGAGCACGGGACAGAAAAACACCTTTTGCTGTTCTGTGCATCTTCTGGCCAATTCGCTAACCCCCTTAATAATGAACAAGGAATAAGCTCAGACTAGTTACGCCGTGGTTTGTTCATGTCACTCTTTGAACAGAGACAAAACATAGAGTAAAAAAATCCAAGCTTCTTCTTCGTTTATTAATAAGAGGGTAGAGTCTGTGCCGAAATAGAATGGGCGTGGCGAAAAACGGAACTAACATTAAGGTTTTTATTTGGCAATCAAACCCAACAATCTGTAAAACGTCAAAGTTTTGTATTGATACGGATTTGTTTGTTGTTGTGATTTCTTGCGGTTTTTTGTATTTAATCATGTCTAAAAGGGTAAAACCTTACAAATACGGTAGAAAAGCACTACAGCGCCCTCCAATCTAAATCCCATTCTCTTTCCGCACAGACTCTTACGGTTTTGTAATTTACAGCGTGTAACTAAACAGCAAATTGCATATCCATCGATGCTTATAAGGACAAGTATCTTAGTGGCCTTAAAATAATTCAGTAATGGATCAGCAAATAAATCTGTGAATATCACTTCCATCTGTCAAAACCAGCTAGAGAATATACCTACTGAACAATTAAACCAATTTTAAGTTATCTTTAGAAATTAGACTTTTTAATATGCATTTTTTGTACTAGGCTTAACAAATTACCTTACCCAAACAACTGTTATATGTAAGAGAAGTCCAGTTGCGTAGAAGATCGCTGAAGCGACAATAAAATGCTTATAACAAAAGCTTCAGCCGTCCTAGCATTGCGGAATAGAACCCAATAATCTACCCCATGAGGCAATGGAACTTTACACAGCACAACACAGAAGTACTGTGTTTTATTATAGTCTTTAAAAAGGTGAAGGTTACTTCCCCTGATAGCGCTAAAACCCAATCGAAAGAGCCTCCTGGAGGCTAAATGGTTAACTTAAGCCAATCTCTATTTCAAGTGAGGGCCACAAGCACCGAAACTCGTAAGTCAAATTAAAACTTACATCCTTATTCTTAGTCGTTTCCTCGAGATTTTCTCCACTCGACTCAACCTCATTGGTGGAAATTCGTATGCTTAGACAACAAAAATATCCTTCACTAGAGATATTCCTCACTCGAGTGGAGGTCGAGTCGAGGAATAACTGTCAAACTCAAGGTAGCTCTCGACGTACCTTAAGGCTTTAAGGAGTGATGTTTAAGGTGTTATCAAGTTGTTTTTATCGAGAATTATGTCTGATTTTGAGATTATTGACGAATTTGTGGATTTTATGGTTTACGTATACGATTTATTTATTTATTTAGTAACACATACACGATGATGAACCATATAATTATCCGGCGCGACGGTATTTACGTGATGCCGCAACAAATCCTTTTAAGGTTTACGACAATGATTCGTTTCAAAGAAGATTTCGGTTTAGAAAAGATACAGTCATACAAGTAATATTTCCTCTGCTAAGCATTATAGGAATAAAATCCTCCAAATGATGACGTCACAATGTTGAGGAATTCTCAAGTTTGTTCAAGATACCAACTAGAATACCATTTTCGAGGTTATTTGGAGGAACTCCTTAAGGAGCCCTCGAATGAGTTTGAGTCGTGGAACGTTTGAGGACGCGACTAAGAATATGGGTGTTAATCCTGTTTAACACATGAATCCATCCTTGGCAATTTTTAAATTCTAACAGACACCATGGTGTCTATTCTGGCATGATTCTGTAAACTTAAAACTAAGCTAAAGTTTACTAGAAAAAACTTAAAACTAAATCTGAAATCCGTCTGTCCTTCCCATTCTGTATAGAGAATGACAAGAATGCACTGTTGTGAATTTTAAGTTTAGGTTATCATGCCAGAATCGACACCAATGATTAGCTTTCAATTTGATTAAAGAACTTTGGTCGAAGATCACGTAGATAACTAAAAATGCACTCGTCAAAACGGTAAGAATAACAACATACACTTTTTGTACTCTTTGCCAAATATATATTTTTGAAGTGAAAACTTCTTTAGCGGCGTTGTACACTTTTTTTTGTATGGGTAAAAAATGTTAAATTCGCGTCAGGTTAAACACGTCGACTGATCGCATCATGGCACACAATAAAATTGGAAAGGTTGTTGACTTTCAATATATTGGACGAAACATAGTAATATTTTATTTTACCGTATTATAATAATAAGTCTCTATTTAGGACGTCCACGTGGCAGCTTTATTGCGAAGAAAATGCATTTTTTTACGATAGATGTGACTAGGTGCGCTTAAATGTGATTCATGTAAGCTCATTTCTTTACAATAGATGTCGCTAAGTGTGCTTAAACGTGATTCATGTTAGTTGATTTTTCTGAGAGATAAACTTTTTTAATGTAATATAAATTGTCATGTTTGTCTACGATAGCGCAATAAATAAATACTGTATTCTACCACATACATGATAATACTTTTATACTGATAATTAAAGCAATTCGTGCAAGATTATTCCCTAATATCCTAAATATCAAAAATGCACAACGTTAATATTCAAGTTTTCACTTCTGCCGACACTCCCGGAGTGCAACCCGTCGTTTTTTTTATTAATATTCTTTTGTTAATAACAACCAATTTGATTTATTAGGCACTCAAGCAAAAACAAAATCAAATAGTGTGCACGGACCACACATCTGAAGTGAAACTTGTTTTCTTAAATAACCTAATATTAGGCGGTGCATAAGACATAGATAGGGGAATGGAGCAGCGTACGCATCATTCATAATCTAATATATAAAATTCTCGTGTCGCGGTGTTTGTGGTTAAACTCCTCCGAAACGGCTCGACCGATTTTCGTGAAATTTTATATGCATATTCATTAGGTCTGAGAATCAGATGTAATCTATTTTTCATCCCCCTAAATGTTAAGGGTAATCCACCCTAAATTTTTTTTTTCAATTTTAGATAAAAAATATTTTTTATTTTTTTTATGATACATCATACAAAAATACATACAACCCTAAATTTTCACCCTTCTGCCACCAACCCCTATTTTTTTATGGCGGTACGAAGTTCGCTGGGACAGCTAGTATGTATATAATATTGTGTATTGACGCTCGTGACGCTCGTATCGTGTCAGCCTTCCGCCAGTTATCCTCCAACTTTCATGCGCGTCGGGAAGAGTTGCGCACGCATTCCACACACACACATATTATTATGTATATACTAGCGGCCCTCCCTCGCTTTGCTTCGGTGTAGAGCTGAAGTGTAGACTACAGTTTTTGTTCTCAGGCTTGTATTATACACAATGACGTTCATCTATGATTCTTCTTATACCTGCATGCAAAGTCTCAGCCCGATCGGTTTAAAATTGACAAAGTTTCATACAAAGTTTCATTCCCTATTTCATCCCTTTGGGGGTAGAATTGACCCAAATCCTTTCTTAGCGGATGCCTACGTCATAACATCTACCTACATGCCAAATTTCAGCTCGATCTGTCCAGTGGTTTGGGCTGTGCGTTGATATATCACTATGTCAGTCAGTCACCTTTGAGTTTTATATATATAGA